GCAGAGTTCTTTTTCCCTTGCCTTGGAGACGGTAAACTTTTGTAGTTGCAAGGGGCTGGCTCGGTTTGTCAAATGATTGATTACGTCAACATTTTAGTTTCTATTCCCCTCATGATTGATTACGTTAATATCTCTTCCGAAGAACCACCTCAGAGGCAAGGGTGGGGCGCGGGGGTTGATCTTTCTCGGAAAGTAAAGGCAGACGAAGACTGTTATTTTGTGAATATGTGCTTTTGTCATCAAGTTAGCACTGTGCGTTGTGATAAGGATGTTGTCTCGGAGCAGAATAATGTATACAACGCGGACATGATACTATTGTGTACTCGCTGCTGTGTCTGCCTGTGCGGTGTTCCTTCTGGGATCCGCTTTGCCCCTTTGCCCCTGTGCCCCGGTGTTGGAGTTTACTTTGGAGTCGAGGTATTTGGGCTACATGGGCGCATGCCACTCGCACCGTCCATCTCGGGACTAGGTTCTACGGGCGAAGCGAGGACGGAGGACGGAGCGCTGCGCTGCTCTGCTTTTCGCCCTCTTTTTTCATGCCCGAACGGCTTTCGATGCATGAAGCTCGCTCCCAAGAGTCCAAACGTACACGCGCGCGCAGCTGTAGGATTTTCTCGTTTCTACGTGTAGGCCTCAGTTTCCTCGTATATCTGTCCGCACAGTCATGCAAGGGACACCTCATCTCCGTCCATGAAGATGATATTCTTCACGTTTGTCGATCTCCCCCGCCTTCCCATTTCGCCCCTTTGGACGTACATGGAGGCGAGAGGGGCTCGGGGGTGCTATTAATGTCCATGACCCTTCTCTAAAAGTTATGAACCCCGACCTTTCGCCCGCTATACATTATTCGGCCTTGCCACTGCGATGTTGTCATCCCCTGCGTGGAGCCCTTATGAAATCTCTGTCGACCGAAATCGTACTGTCAGAACGACCTCGGCCCCGAGACGCACTTTGAAGTTCGACCTCATCAGACACCATCGAGCAACTGATGTGACGATTAGTCGACTCTCGGTCTAGCTTCAATCACGTTCGTAATCATTTCAGTTGCCATCTCCTGGTAGAAGGGAATCCAAGGTTCGTCGTGTGAATGTTACAGCTTGATCCCGGACAAAATTCTGATGGAAGTGGATCGAAAGATGGACCACCCTATGGAAAAGTTTTTCCCAACAAAAAGTGTTTAAAGATAGTTCTGTGAGGAATATTCAGTGGCAGGAGATGAGACAAAACCTCGCCATCGTGAAGAAGGCCAAGGAGGAAAAGGAAAAGAAAGCAACACTGCGAACCCACCCACACTCACACTCACACGTCTTCAAGCTTTTATCGTTCTTGGAGCAGCACCATCCTGTAGCGAGTTGGCCTCGACCGTCCGGTTTCGCACGAAAAAAATAGAAATTTGAAGCCCTTCACCTGTTTGACTGGACTCGACGACTCTCACGATGTGGACGACGGCGTCCATGACCTCGAGTTTGCTCCGAATGCCAGTTTGGGATGGCTCGTTTCTTTGTCTCGGATCGGAATTTTCCATCCGCGCGTCTTGTCTCATTGCCGCTGTCAAAAACGATTAGAAAACTCGGTCGATCGCGAAGCGTACATGGCATGGCCAGGGGAAGCTGGATATTTGAAGGAGCATAAAGTAGTTGACCCTTAAAGAGATATGGAAGTGGGTTGGGGAGTGTCGAGCCATCTGGAGGAGATGAAGAAGAATGATTGCCGTGGGACTTGTGAGCGGTGTCAAGTCAGCTCACCAAGATCCCCGAGGGCCCGAGACACACCCCCAACGTACAGCTTGGCTTTCACCTGCCAGCAGGCAGGCGAATGACACTCTGCAGCGCCTGCAGAGTAACGGATTAGATTCGCGACGGCGTGAAGGAAGGTGTGCTTCTGAGGCTCGTGCTGGAAATCGGCTCTCGGGGCCCAGGCCAACCGTCCGATGGCCGGAACCAGGCGATGCCGTCGATTCGGAATCCTCCGGGAATTATTCCCTCCCTCGCTACATTCATCAGCGCTGCGAATGCCCGCTAGCGGATAGCGATCCGGTGGCGGAAGCAGCGATTGGGTGCCAAGTCTTCTTGCAAGACCAGGAACCATCACAAGGCTCGGCATGGGCCGAGGGTCGGTTGACATTCCCCCCAGCGTCTGTACTGGCGCTCTCAGCTTCTCCAGACGAGCGGCATATGTCGCATGTCGCATGTTCCCGGTCGGTACGCCGGAGGCCCCAGTCCCTCGGTACCAGTCGCGAAGTAGTTGTTGTGTAGCGACGCAAGCTAGATCTGCTGAGCACAAGCCTCAGGGGGCCGGGGCCGCTGATGGGCCCGTTTGGTGGCTGCCTAGAGTCCAAAAGATATTCCTGCGTGGCTCCATGTCATCTCATGTCCGAACTTTAATATTTCTGATTCCTTTTCATCCTCGTCTGGGGGGCATCGGGGCCAGTCAGAGTTTAGAGCCCGTCCTTTCCTTTGTCCACTCAGTGCGCGAGACAGACGATTCGGAGGGGATATATTTCGTGCGATCTTGAGGACTTGTAGTCAAATCACTCCCAGTCCCAGTCCCAGTCCCAGCCCCCGCTGAGACCGGAGGAGAATAAGTGTCCCACCGCAACTAATATCTGCATTCGCCGACAACGACATCTGGCTTGCGGGATCTAGCCAATTCCATCCCAAGAGGTCATCAAAGTGTTCACGGTCATAATTGTTAATCTCGAATCATCATCGTTCAACACAGGCAGAAATAGATAGCGAAAAGTTGCAGCGGCGCAGGGCGAGAATCGCTCATCTCCGTTCTGAACATTTTCCAGTGGCGACAGCAGCAGCGCCCCACCCATGGTGCCCAATAGTACAGGTATTTTTGAAGTGTGAGCTTGACAACCGCAGCCAGAAGTTGGGCATTCGAAGACATTACTGTATTTGACTATGGACATTTCTGACTGACAACACCCCATCCCCATATTTCGTGCATCGTGCTCTGACGGTTCGCGCGTAGGTTTACATTAGAGCGGTGGTACTGGGTCCCTCGATCACATTCGACCCCTTCGAGCTCTAAGGCGCTCGCACTATTATAGCGTCGAGAGCACTGCGAAGGGCAGAACTGCGCGAACTTGTAATCGTGGCTTCGGCCTTAGTTGAAGGCGCAACGCAAACAATCGTGGAGACCGAACGCCCGAAGAAAACGAGGCCATGTTTTCACGACACGGCGAGCGAGATGCACACACAGACGAAAGTACTGTCAGTGAGTTCAGCTTTGGTGGTTATGGAAGCTACTGAGAAACAAAATGATTCGAATGAAAAACGAGATGATTGCCGAGCTCGACATAAAGAAGTTATGGCTTTCGTACTCTAAGCCCTATGTAGCGGCAACTACCGCGCGCCCCTTATCCGCGGTCGATCAGAATCCCCAACCGGGCCCAAGTCCCGAGTGGATAACCCTCGCGATTCGACATTCATTGAGAAACTGGTCGATGGAGACCTGGGATGATGTTGCCAATCTACGTTAATGCGGGCCATAGCTGAGGCGAGATGTAGGTCCTAACAGTTAGGGATGATGGTTCGCCCGAGCCTGTACAGTGGCTCGCCAAGATGATTTCGATGACACCGACATTCATGAGAAACTGGTCGATAGCGTCCAAAGAATAAAACTGTCTCACGCCGTGAGACAGGATCCTCTGACAGTCACGCGTACCGCTCCTCAAGACAAAAGTGATGCCATGCTTCGCCGTTTGCGTTTCTTACGATCAGTTGCGTGCCGACTCCGCCCACGCCAAGGGCGAGGGCGAGGGCGAGGGCTCCACTGGTCGTTCACCCTCGGGCAGGCGTGCCCTGCCAGATTCTCCAGGTGCATCTTCGGGAGCACCCTCATCTGCTCTCGAGGCTCAGGCTCAGAGCCATCGGCACGAACACGAACTCTTAGGACAGTTCGCGCCATCGATGCGCAAAAGGGAGCGCATGGATAGGCAGGCACGGGCACATCGAACAGGGACAAGCTCGAGACAGCTCTCGCGCAATCTGCGTCTTGACTTTTGGCTCGTTGGTAGGGTAGAGCATCGAGCCCCATGGGCCGCGGCAGGACTCCGCTCGAGAGTGACGAGGTGAGCGCGGTGCTGTTCGGTACTGTTGGAAACCATACCGGAATGCAGGTTGCCCGAGCCGACGAGTCCTTTCTTGAGATGTCTGCTGGGCTTCCGGACCTTGTCCCCTCAAAAAGGCTTCTCACATTCGCGTGCGAGGCCGCGAAGGCTGTAGGGGTCGTACACATCTGCATGATGCTTTACCGGATGGCGTAGGTCCTTGGCGTGAGCGCTCCACTCAAAGTTCTTGCGCAAATTCATTAAAAACTCATCGAGTTCCGGATTTGTGGATGCCCTGAGTACCCGCACAGCATGCAGTGCGGTGACTACGCAGGAGTCCCTGTTCGGAGGAGAGACTCAGGGCACATCTGCATGCATTTCTTGTACAAACTTGGGCAAGAATTGCTGGACGGTGGCCTGATGTCTACAACATGACAACAGCGACGCGAGGTACTGGAAGGACAAGAGGATTTCGGTATTTTCTAGCCTGTACGAGGAGCATGGTGCGCGTGGCCACCTCTCAGCGATCTCTACTATTGGGATAAGGCACCCGCGCGCGCTCGCTGCATCTAACGAACAACACAGCTCCCAACTTTCCGCAGGCCAGGGCTCGCCCGGTGCGAATGTCATCGATGGGCACGAGGCCTTGCGATTTCGTGTCGCCGGCTGGAATGCTGCAATGCACCCCGAAATTTCTCAAGCAAAACGCAACCCTCCTTTCGAGGCGGGCGAGCGAAACCTGCACAGTATTATAATCCGCCGATCGCGATCCTATCCGTCCCTGCGCCCGGGCCCGGCCCGGCCTCTGATGATTGAGAAGAAAGCTGTGCGCAGAATAGATTCGCTCATCATCCGCCTTTTGCAAAGTCTGGCCTGCGCAGTGACTCAGCCCCCGCTTTCCCAAAGTCTGCACCGGTGACTCAGCAGCTCGGCAGGGAATGGGCAATCGGCCCCGAACCGGCGATGAGCACATGCCGGGGATATTCGCCCGGCCCATAAATGCGCGCCTGTTACCCGGTACAGCCGAGAACTGCAATATTATGGATGGGCCGGACAGTCGCGCGGGCGAACATTCTGCTCCAAAGTCCCGAGCGGGATCGCAGGTCCGCCGTGGGGCCGAGCGCAATCGACCGCTCCGCCGGACTGCGATCTGGCCTAGGGGCCTACGGCTAGACTGGAACGGAACGGAGGGAAAGCGGAGTAGAGTGGCAACGTGCTAGGGTAGGGACGGGTCGGGTTGTTAGCTGCTCTGGATGTGGAGTGAAGGGTAGAGTCGTAGTGGAGAGCAGAGCAGGCCGATCGTGCAGAGAAACTTCGTCCTCTTGCCGATGCGCGACGGATGGCATGAGATGGGTCTGGCGCCGCGCTTGTCGCATTCGGTCACAGGTGTCGGCATCGACGCAGATCGGTGCGAGCGCTTGCGATCGTGATTTTATGGTTTGACTTGATTGACTCGGACCCCTTCGTATATCGCCAGGTTGACTTTGACCCAATGATACAATATCGATCACCACTCTCGCGCTGCCACGTGACAGGTGCCCATACCGCATTGCAACACGCGTGATAAAAATATGTTATTGTTTCCTCGGTCTCCTCGGCAGATAAGATGATCATGTCTCTCCTCTCGGATCAGCAATCGCCTCACTCATCCATTCTGGGTGTCATTCGGATCCGTGTTCATACCTTCGGATAACTCGCTTTGGCTCATTTTCTTTCCTTCGCTTCTTCGAGTTATTCCATGAACATTTTATAACTTTGGTGACCTGCATAATAGTTCACTGAGTGTGTCTTTCCGAAACCTTCATTCTTCGATCTATTTTCGTGCCGAAACGATATCGATGAAATCGGATTCGCTCATCGAAATATACGCGGAGGTGGAAATAACATGAGCAATTAACTTTGAAACTATGTTCGACACTAATCATGGGTCCATGACATTGTGGATATCCTTGAAGTAGCACAAGGCTGTGCAGCTCATGTTGTATTCACCGACCTCTCACTGCACAATATGTTCTGACGTAGTGAAGGGTCTTCGTCCAAGAAGATGATGAAACTTTCCAACAGTCTTCATTTAGTCTGAAGTGTGTGTTCACCATTTTAACTTGGTTATCTTCTGGTAGCAGTGATGTTATTTGTAGAAGCCTTGTACGAACGGACCTCCTTCTCCAAACACTCATGCAGCATAACAGCATAAATGAACTACGTTTGCCATATGTTTAACAAAAGGAAGATTGCATCTTTCTCTCCCCTTGCTACCAAATCATTCTCGTGGCAAGAGCGACATATATATAACCTTTACGTTATACTTCATAGCTATATCTTGACAACAGTTTGTGCAAGCAATAAGTTATATTTTTTGGCACAATTATCTTTTCAAAAATGCAACCCATGCCAAACCTTATTCATACATTTTACTGTATGAACTGAATATACTAAATAAGACTGAATAATACTGAATTGTTCAGTATTCATACCAAACAGTTTTATGTTCATTTCACGAAGTTTATGTCATCAGTTGTTGCTGGGGCCATAATTTCGTGCCAAATTCCTTAAAGGTATTTCACATAAAATTCACGTGTTTTTTCTTAATATTACAACAACAAAATTCTCAACAGGATTTAGAAATTAAAGCCAACGTAGCTAAAATTGATGAGGAAATTAATCTAAAAAAGGTTAGATATCATTGCTTCTAATTTCATATGGTCAACTAAGATATCATTTCATCTTATAAGATAATAGCTTGTTTTCTACTTCATCCTTAGGTAATTTCAAATATGGCCTTTATCAGAGAATATGTCCATCCAACATATTTCCAACAATGAAGCACATGAAAACTTACCTGTAAACATAAACACTCAGAATTATCATCGACAAAGTATTCAAGCAACAACCAACATATTTCCAACAATGAAGCACATGAAAACTTACCTGTAAACATAAACACTCAGAATTATCATCGACAAAGTATTCAAGCAACAACCAACAAGAGAGACACAAGTATATATAGTGGTTCACCCTCAAAAGGTTACGTCCAAGGGGGAAGAGCATCATGAGTTTGTACTGAACGTTTTGTCTAGTAATAAATAGACCCTGGGTATATATACGCAACACTGAGGACCAATCTTAGCTATAAATAGCTAAATATGAGGTTATTCTTTGTCCGGAGTTAATCTCAACAATTCTCACCTTAACTCGTGTTAAAAGAAACAATAACCTCCATACCTATTTTATTACTTCGTGAGAATTTCTAGAAAATAACATCATATAAGGTACTCTTTAAACGACTTAATTAGAACTTAGCCGGTCACCGTCAGAAATTCCAAACCGACAAAACCTGTCACGGAGAGAAAACTTGCATGTCAAATCAAAACCTGCTCCGATATCAATTGTAAAGATGGAAATTGAGAATCATCAGTGACAAAGTATTCAGGCAACAACCAACACAAGAGACGCAAGCTTACACACGAGGCAGAGCATCGCGAGTTTGTATTGAAAGTTCTATCTGGAAACACACATACCCTGGTATATATACCAAACACCTACTACCAATTTGAATTATAAATAGCTAAACATGAAGTTGACCTCAACATTACACTCCTCATCAGCACATGAAGAGTTTACTGCTACGGAAAACATTGTATTCCATGAAAGAAAATGATGTGTTTTGTATCTCAATTCGTTCAAGAGTTATTAAAAATAATCACTATACTATAGCTGGAAACTAAAATTGGCAGCTTAGAAGAGAAGAGCACACAGATTATAATAATATTTTCAAAGTATCAAATTTACAAGAACAGATTTCTAAAAACTTCACCTGGGAAAATAATGATTCTAATTTTGATTCCAAGTTTTAATCTTAGCACTATATATCAACTGATTCAATTTCGATTACTTCGGTATCGTTAGATTTGCTCAAATAGAAGGCTGTTATGTAAGGATATTTCATAAGTTTTTTTCTTCACTCTCATTGAATTAGATAACTTCAGCTGAAGAAGCAAAAGCTCATGTCTTTCATATCGTTTTCTCAATTTTTACAACCTGAATAATCTGATCAGTATATACATGAGGTGAATTCTCTAACATACATGGACACTTGTTCAATGTACACATGAAGCAAAACACATTTTTCTGAATAGAGATGTGAAAGAGATGAAGTAAGATCTTTGACACTTCCATTCAGAAAAATGTGTTTTGCTACGTGTTTCTGAAGTTCTTGTTCTAGGCTGTGGGTTGGCTTGGGCAGGTTTTCAACAAGATATGGGGTAAGATGAAATTGGTTTTCTAGTTTACCAGTCGCGCTCTAACGGAATAGTTGCTCACAATGCGGCTAAAGATACGCCTATTGATTTTGAGGGGCCACAAGAGTCCTCTTGACAACTTCAGTTCATATGGAAGAAATCACCAAACTTGAGGACGAGGAGATTGGCGACTTAGTCAAGCGGCGACCGACGGAGAAAACTCCTGCCCTAGATGGAATAACTTGAAAAATAGGAGGGCAGGAACCAAATGCAAACATTTGGGAAGAAGCCCTTTTCTTGATCAGCTCTGCACCATTGTATTCACTCAGTTTGACACCGAGTGTATCCAATTGCTTAGAGCTGGCCAAGAAAAGAGAGAAGGAAGTGTCACCCATAGGGCGGCTTCCGACCGATCTTCAGGAGAAAACTGTGAAATAAGAAACGCTGCGAAACCTTCTTTGAAACACAGAGGCGGCACTTCAGCTCGACAATAATGCGAGCAACGACATCGAGTAGATCTGCAGAGAGGACTGTCCGTCCAGCAGGGGATCCATCGGACTCAAGAGTCGGTGGAACTACCTCTTCAAGTTGCCTAGACGGTAGGGGATGCACACCTGCAACGCTCGCGACTTTCCCTTGCTAAATTAGATTATTGGCGATTTGCTCTCTTCACCGCCACCATGGTGCTGAGCTTTCTATTCGCAGTCGATTTATCAATAACACCTACTGTGATCTCAATCCGAATCTCCAGGACTTGGGTACTGTGTGATGTGTTGTGTAGTGGGGGAGAGGGGGATGCTGTCCATAATATTTATTAAGATAGAACGCGTTGCACCGCCTTTGCCCCGAAAAAATGAAAAGTATGGGAAGAACACCGACGTACAGTATCGGGAGGAATAATGGGCTGTTCCCGGCGCAAAGGACTTTCCGAGAGTCTGCACAGAATTGTCGAGAATCTTGAGGATAGACTAGTCCAGAACTTCAGACATCAACTATTCCACAACATGGCAATATATTTCCGGATTCTGGGATGAACTCCCCTCGGCGGAACAGATTAAGACGACTACCGATAGACTGGGGGCTGAGGTGTTCTGCTTACTTGGCCTTCATCACGTGGCACCTACGTGGCGATAAATTCACACTCCTACATCTTCCACGAAGGGGGAGGTTTTGGGATCATGCCAAGTCTTCCAAAGCCAATCAGACGAGGACATCACAGGTGATGAACTGATGTCTGGACCCACTGGTTGAAAGTATTGGCAAATCTTACACGTGTCAAAATTATGCCAACTACTAAAGCTTAAGATCCAACGCCAGCATATTCTCGTAACTATTCGACTTCTACAGGCTGGGGGTAAGGTGGGAAACCCGGTAGGGTTGGGGCTGGCTGGTTTCGCCAGCGGACGCCCGGATCGACACAGTGGGCATGGGCGTACGGGGATAATGAGCTCGAGCTCGAGCCGAATGCTGGAAATTGAAGACCACCTGGGGCGTACGGGGGAATGGGGTGAATGGCGGGGAGAATTTTCGGTACCGATCAAAGAAGCCGGTAATTCCGTTCGCACTGGGTCGACCAAGTGCGAACGGCGTAATGTGAGTGGGTTTTAACTCAGCTGTTCCTGGATAACCCCGGAGTTTAGGGTTCCCTCCGCGCTCTTAATATAGAAGGACTCGCTGCGATGGACGTGGACCAGCATTGGAGGCCACGTGGTGGATGGCGGTGGCGGCGCCCATCCCCTCGTCTCGTCGCAAAACCGGATCCGGTCTCAGAAAAAAGCTGCAAGGCACGATCGGTTAGCGGGCGGCGGGAGGTCCCATATTCAGGGGCCCAGTAATTCTCCTAGTATCTAGAAATTACTGGGAACCCGCTCGTCGCAAAACCGGATCCGGGCTCGGAGACAAAACATGCAAGGCACGATCGGTTCGCGGGCGGCGGGAGGTCCCAAATCCAGGGGCCCAGTAATTCTTCAAGGCGCCCTTGCGCAGAGAAATTACTGGGGCCTGAAGTTTCTCACCCACACGAGGGTAACTCGAAGCTCCCCGTCCGAGAGCAGGCTGCACATCCCAACCCAGTGGTTTGCGGGCGAGCAAACCACTGCTCGGGCACTGGGCTCTTCGATACTTGTCTTGGGCCGGGCTGACTGGGGCTGGCCTGCAGTGTTTCCCTCCTCGCTCGCTCTTGTCTGCTCGTCTCGCTCTCAGGGCCTGCTTTCCTTTCCCTCTCCCCCCCAACCCTTCCCTCCCTCCCTCTCCCCTCTTCCCCTCGCCCTCCCTCCTCCCCTTTTCCCTCCCAGCCCCGCCTGCCTGCCTGCCTTCCAGCCGCGACCCCCACCACCTTTGCCCGCAGTGAGAGATTGCGTTGTGTTATGTTGCTCTTCTTCTTGTTCGACCCTCCGGCCCTCTCAAGGATTTGCCTCGACACCGCGGAGCGAGCACGCGCACAGTGGAGTGGTGTGAATAAGGAAAGGCGCGACGCAGTGGAGTGAAGGGATGGAAGGCGAATAGGAGTAGGAGCAGAAGTAGCAGACGAAACCCCGGGCGTCCGAGGCGACGACGACGTTGCCGACGTCGGCGAAGAGCAGCTTAGTGTAGTGAGGAACAGGTGGTCGGGCGTTTTGGTGAGTAAGATCGCTGGGTGGTGCTCGCCTCGCGATCGGAGAGTGGTCGCAGGAAGTGCCTCCCCTGCTGTTTGTGTCGATTCTTGCTTTATAGCGGGTAGGAGATAAGGTTCCTCTGTCGCCGCAGGCATCGGGTGCAGTGGCTGTTTGCATGCAGCTCTCTAAGCAATTGAACCGTTGCGTCGGGTGGTGCATTTTTAACATCGTTGTGACATCGTTCGTGTTCTGCGGTGCGTCAGGTGTACCGGGTACCTCCGTTGGAGCTTTATCTTCCTCGACTTGCCTCGAGTTTAAACGAGGTCAATTACAATCCAGGGAACTTCGTAGTAGGTTTCGGCAGGCGACCTCGCTCCTCTGCCCTCTTGCCCTCTGGCCTGTCTCTCGGACGGCCACCTTCCAGAATGCTCCCACAGCCAGGTCAGTCTCCCGCAGCATGTTCTTAGTCGCACTCGGTTCTCTTTGCTCAAGCTGGCAAGTCTAGTGGACTAAACCCGGATTACTTTTGTGTAGGGTTTGATAGCAGTGAAGCAGAAACTCAGCAACAAGCCCAATCTGCAGGCATTCCAGTCCAGGGTGAATACATGTTGCCACACACCCAATTAGAGCTCGGCCACTCCATGGTACGTGGTTCCTCACCCTCGTGTTCCGTTTTGTCTTTCCCTCCTTCCCTTTCGATATCCTCATCCCGATCGGATCCCCACCCCCGTTCTCCCACTGAGTTTATCGAATGTTTCTTTCTGGTGTGTGCAGGCTCAGCAGGGTGGACGACAGTTTCCTTTCGCAGATCCTTATTTCGGGGGGATAGTTGCGGCATATGGTCCTCAGGCGATGGTCAGTACATTCCCTTTTACGCTTACATGTCTTCCTTTCCCATGTTTCTCGGTAATGTGTTGAAATCAATTTTCTTGTGAACAGATCCATCCGCATATGTTGGGGGTGCAACAAGCTCGTATGCCTTTACCGTCGTCAGAGTTGATGGAGGAAGAACCAGTCTATGTTAACGCAAAACAATATCATGGTATCTTAAGGCGCAGGCAATCGCGTGCCAAGGCGGAGTCCGAGAACAAGTTAATAAAGTCCAGGAAGGTAATTCAAACGTTCTTTCATTTTTGTACTTTCGTTACTGGAGTCTACGGTGGAGGCGTCTTCCGTATGGTCTTACCGTCCTATTTATTGATGCAGCCTTATCTGCACGAGTCTCGTCATCTGCACGCTCTGAGAAGAGCCCGCGGTTGCGGAGGAAGGTTTCTCAACACAAAATTGAAGGAAGATTCGAAAGGCGAGAACCACAGATCGACTGAAGGACAATCGTCCGAAGGTACCGATTCTCAGGCCTCTCACTCAGGCCAGGGGCTGATATCTGATGGAGGAATGGCACAGTATCACGCGGGAATTTTGACCCACACTGGGCATGTGGGTATGATTTCAGGGAATTCGTCCGGAGGTTACCACAGTCACCATCAGCCTCAGGGATTTCACTCGTCAGCTTTTCATCCTCTGCCTGGAGGAGGAGATGGGAACGACAGCGCGCAAAGTTCCCAACAGACAGCCGTGGCGACTCAATGAAGCCGCGGCCCAATGAAGTGTGGGCGAGGTGTTGGGGTGAGGTTTGGACGAGCACCCACAAGGCACCTTGAGATGTAAAATGTGTTGACGTCTAGTATTGATGTCTTCTCTCAACCTGAATTATCATCCACTCGATCGACAGTCAAATGTTGGGGTCTGGGCGATGTCCTTTCGATCATCGCCCATCAGTTCAATGTTTGATTCGAGTTGCAGATAGTGTTACAGCCTTGAAAGCAGTATATGGGAGGTGTGGTCTCTCTTGGTTTAGGATTATAGGTTCTTGCATTTTTGTTAACAGCAAGAGCCTATAATAGACCAAATTCCCGATTTCAATGAGGGCAGAGAGTCTGCAACATGCAGCGCAAGCACATTTCGGAGCTGAGCTGAGACGGTGTTGTAGTCTGCACCTTACTGTTCCAGATCCAGGAATGGTGTCAAATATGTGATGGAGGTTGACCCTCAGTTGGAGATGGTGGTTGTCAGGAGAGAAAAATGTCCGAGGTCAGTTTTGAGTTAAGCCAAAGTTTTTTTTACCTGTTTTTTTTTCCCAAAACTTTCTTAATTTCGAAGGTTCTTTTTTCCTTTCTCCGAAATAGTGTAGAGCTGGTAGAGTGAGGTATCCACCTCTTGGTCGTACACCACCTGGTTCTAGATTCAGGGACATGACCTGTGTAGAGGTCTCTTGTACATTGGTAGAAGTAGTGTTATGTCCCTTGATGGTTTATACACAGAATTCAGGGAGGAGTGTCAAATTCGACTTTGGAGTAGATGTAGACTTGTGTTGCGTTTTCTCTTCTGTACGTTTATGGAGAGGGTGAAGTGCACCCCATGTGAGAGGCACAGGTGTTTTGAGAGGCAACGCCGTCTTTCTTTCCCTGCAAATGAGTTGTACAAAAAATGGCGACAAGCGCCTCCTTTTTTAATACAGTTTCTGTAAATTTTTCTGATATACATTGCAATCAAACGTTGTATCATTTTACACTCTGTTATTGTCATGGGTTAAGGAAATTTCGTGTGTCAATGCTGTTAAGTTACTCTTGCGACAGCTGTAATGGAATACTACTAAGTTTATTGTGGTCCAAGCATGCAGTTTCAAAATTATCCAAACATACATTTTGCACCTTTCCTGTATATTTGCCACTTGGTTTCATACTATCAGGATACTTTCTAAACGTAGAAGACTGACTGTTTAAAATTTGCGAGATCTACTTGAGGATATGAAGTTTTCATCGATTGAACTTTCAAAGATTGAACGCGTTGTAGGGGTTCTAAGTTTGAGGTGTTGAATTCATACTGTTAAGTCTTTCCGTACAAGCAATCCCTTCTCTACCTAAAGTTTGTTTGATTAAATGACTTAAATGAAGTGTACTACTAGATAAACGTTATCAGGCTTTTTTTGTAATTTTTTCATACGTAGGTAAATCTTACGTGTTGACTGAATCTTCTGGAGATGCAGAATGTGAATATTAGATTTGCTCAACCTTTTCAGTTTCCGAACTGGTCTCTCAATTCTTTGAGATCTTGTGTTGTCACTTGCCAATTTCTGATGGAGGGAGTATTAATTTGGAATATCATTACATAACTGACAATGGTGTTGACTCGATCCAGAGATGCACGGTTCTATGCTTCGTAGAAAATAGTGAAATCATCAGCAGCAAAGACACTAAAGATGTCCCCTCCGGCACCCAAACATATGATTTTTGTGCATAAGAAATCACAGCAAGGCGTTTGGTTTCATTTCAGACCAAAACGTCGTTTACACACATACATGGTCAAATAGCGCACATCAGAGCTTCTGATCTTGCAGTTACGTCTTCGAGGCTTTCTTCTCAGAACTTTGATACACGTGTGGGCGAGATGTCCCTGTTCAGTTATGATACGTATGGTTTTTGTGGGCATTTACGTTCATAGCTACTATTCCAGGTTTCCTTAAAAGTGGCAAATGCCAAGACTGCCACAATAAAGTTCATAGTTCATAGTAGTAGGCAGTTTATTATAAAAGTTTTAGGGATCAATTCGAAAATTCGGAAATTTCATTGTAACATGTTTTGGCTTGATTACTACATCCGGACCTTGGCTCGGAATTCTTCAAAAGATTTTTTATATTGTCAAACGAATCTTCTGCTTAGAGAACAACAACTCATATTCAATGTCAAGAATTTGTTTATACAAAATCTCAAACTCATGGAACTCAATTTTATCATGTGATTCAAATGATTTTTTATATTGTCAAACGATTAGAGCACTAAGAAGCCTGGCACCACGCATGTTCAACATGAGTTCAAATGTACAACATATCTCCAAGTTCAAAAAATCGCCTAAGTGAGTTACTGAAAGTATTTTGGTTAGTTTCTTTGGAGAGTAAAGTAGATTGTTTGAGAATGAAATCTCGTTATTTTCAGACATTCTTCGCTAATTTCATACTCACGTGCTCTAGCGCGTGAATATGAAATTAGCGAAGTGTTCTTTCTTCTTAGTTTTGAAATGATCTCGCAATGTTGGGCCTCATTTACTTGTCATCGCTTACTGGTCAACTTCTTTGTCATTGAAACTATAGGCAAAGGATTTAAAAATGAAGATGTTGCGTATGCACCTACCAGATAAATATGCACACAATTGTAAGGTTCAACATGCGTACTTAAGTGGGAGACTACTGTATTATACCAGGTCTATTAAAACATGGCAAATGACAGATTTGCAATCTTTTTTAGCAATAATCGAATTGCTTCTCATGCATAATGTACGCAAAGGAAAATCTATGTGTGCTAGACGTAGATTTTCCTTTTTGGTTGGTGCAAGAATACATTTTTTCACTTTCCATCATTTGATGATGTAATAGTATCTTTCAATCTATTTCACATCTGAAAAACGTGAAGGTATTCACAAGATCAAAATAAATATGCTAGAAAAATCATAATAAAAAAATGAATGAAAGATATGAAGTGTACCTGAACTCTTATAAACCAACAAAAATAATATATACAATGATCAATTATACATGCTATAGAATTGATATGAAAAAATAAAATATGATATGTACTTGATCTTTCTAATCTAGCCAAGAAAATACTCACAACTATTCAATGAAACATGCTATAGTAATGATATGAAAAAATAAAATAGTAAATGTACCTTGACTTTCTAATCTAGCCAGGAAAATACTCATAATGATCAGACTAAATATGTTATAAAATTGATATGAAAGTAAAAAATGAAAAAAACATAGTAAAAGAACTTGGACACTTATGTTAGAAAATAAAATAAAACTCACATTGATCAAAACAAACATGCTTACAAAAATTATATAGAAGGAATAAAATGAAAAAAGATATGAAATGTATGTGAGTTATAAATCTCTTACTTTTCTCTTTCGTTTCCGGGCAACTTGCTTTGCAGTGCTGAGTTCGTAGGAAGACAAATCTGGTCAAATATTCGCAAATTTGGGTATTTAGAAGAAATCTGAGGTTGGCGCACACTCAAGTTCATGCACTCCCGGGCTGTATCGGAAGCATTCATTCCTACCCTAACTTTCTACTCCCCGCATTACATTTCTACATTTATAATGTATGCAATTTTGCCTAGATTAATCTGGCAAATCTGGCGTTTGAAAATAGAACGCCAAATTTTAGGTGGTTTACTATTCTCCACTATGGGATAATCGTCACCACTTTGCAGCACAACTCTGAATGGCGTGTACCAAATCCAACTCAGTTAAATTGGTTAATTCACATGTTCGAAACTAAAAAGTACATGTGTACTGAACTCTATCCGATCTAATCTCAGACAATGCAACATCGCGCTATCATGTCACACGCGCTACGTAGGTTAGTAGAGGTGCCATGACATTTTAGAAACTTTACAAATATGAAAACTTCCACTGCAATTCTCTCCGGCCATAACAAAAAACGCACCCTTCTGATCTTCAATTGAGCTTTTCCTCCAGTCTTTACTTACCTACTGATCTGCCACAGGACTTGTTACTGACTGATAGTGCTTTTTCTGCTCGACTACTCATTGTCACTTCAAGTCTCGACGCCCGCAAACTGGCTTGATGAGAAAAATTCATCACTCTACTGATAGGGTGAAATAACGAGGACTAGAAACCAGTTCAAAAAGGTCAAACAACAGATGTTGTTTTGACTCTTTTTTTCTCCGCTCCAAACTTTCCATTGTGTAGATCTGTTCTATAGCCTTGTATCAATGTCTAGTGGCCATTCATAAAATGCTCAACGTTGCAAGTGACTGAAATCCAAAGAAATGTTTAGTGTTCATGTCAACAGATATCTCCTTCCAAAGATCTGATTTATGAATCAATTCTGAAGCTCCAACATAGAAAGAGGTCTTCACGTTGTTCGTGGTCGATTATCTGGCAAAGACTTCCTGGAGCATTAGATATGCCGGAATGCCCGAACGTCGGCTCGGACTCTTGCACCTCCTTCTTTCTGAACCTAAGTCAGCTAAATTTCCTCAGTATGTTGAGACTTGGATTGAATGCATCATTGTGTTCTGGATATCAGTTTCAACTGTATCAGAAGCTAGACATCGCAGCAATTATATTATTCTCCTGTACAAAGGCATGTTAGTTGGTGAAGGACTTGAGATAAATCCGAGCCCACTTTCATAACCTTTCAGACATCCCATTGTCTGGTGTTAGTGGGCTTTTACACTCATCAATATAGTACTGGTCATTTGATACCCTGGTTCTGAATGAACAATTTTCAAAGATCCCACTACGGGAGATATGCTCGCATCACTCTAGTCTCTTTTCCCTCTACTTATTTTCCATCTTCTTCAGATACTCAAGCTCTTCGGATGTACAATGCTAGGAAATGAAGCGGCCGTGTTATCAGGCTTAGGCAGCCATTCGATTCGGTGCACTTATCAACTAGCCTGACGCAATAATGCGACTACGTGAACCTATTACGAAAAAGTTGGCCAAAATAAAATGATGTCTTTGTTCAAGAGATCAGTTACGCTTCTCCGTCATTTCGTTCCTAGTTTGAGATAAGTTAATTTGGCAATTTTTTTGCTGTTCGTTAGCTATATATTTATGGGTTTTCTTTCTTTTGAATGATCTCGTACAACTGAATTTTCATTGATGCTGAGAGGTTTGATCATCAGTACAAGGTTTTGATCGATGGTAGTAAATGAAATAGTAAATATATTCGATGGTTTTGGAACATTTATGAAAGAAAATAGATGTCGATGAGTTCTTAGTGGTATCAACGTCATTGCACTTCTACAATTTAAAAGTCGAAGGAACGCCAGGAACGCGGGAAGCGTTTTGTGGGGCAACTACAGCATACCCAATATGCAAAACAACTCGTAGCTCTTGGGTTTCTTGTTGCAGTCACTACAAGGATGGAAACCCGAGTTGCTGTGCCAAGGCGATTACAAGCTGTCCATTGCTTTTACCAGTAGTCCATAGCCTATAAACTAGAGTACGACCGAAGTAACAACGTTAGATCTGGGTGAGAATTAAGTAAAGGGTATGTTAAACTCTCTTCCATTCTGTTTCAGAAACTTAATACATATATTTTGTACAATAATTTCACTATTTGATTTAGAGAATTTGTTCTTCAAAGACTTCACGCAACAGACTTTTTCATATAAATATGTTTTTATGTCTGGTTGCAATCTGACATTTGGGGAAAATTGACGATTTTTTTTCTAATAGTATTGCAAAAAATATTCACATTAATGTAAAAGTTGAGGCAAACAAATATAATTATTTTTGATGTTCCTTCAAAAAGATTTCATATTTTATGGAAACATATAAACGAGATAATTTCACACTAAAAACAAGATGGTATTGTTTTACTTGATAAGACCAACAACTGGCCAAAGAGATTCACATGCCCAATTTTGATCATATAAAACTGTGAAATTGTGTACTTCACGTATGTTCATACGTTCATGTGCTTCGCCATTTGCAAAGCTCAGGTGCCAATGGTTAGTTGCTG